GAGAAGAGATCTCAATCTAAAAACATTGCAGAGTATGACAAATAGAAATAACTGCCTACGGCAGCATGGGATACTTCGTTAAATGCTTTAGAGTTCAAAATATGTCCTGAAATCTCTTCTGTGAAACTTACTTCAGTATGCTAGAGGAGAGCTAGTAAGAAACACTATAAAGTGCTGTTCTGGAACACTTACTTGATGGAAATTTGTACTCCCATGAAGACAAAACTAACTGCGCTATTGTAAAAACATTTATTGTGAGCAGCAGAACTGCAAAACCTGGTTTTCTGTGAATTTGTCCTTTTTCCTCTTTAGCATGTTAATATTTGGGTGTCCCAGCTCTTTTGTCCTTATTGGCAGGGGGTTTTTTTGCCAGGTGAAAATAGTACATAGTTGATTGGAATAAACTGGCCAAACAGCATGTAATACCAGAGTTCTTCATGTCTTTCTCTTTGGTAGCACTGAGCTTGTTTTCTGTCTTAGCCACTGACAGCTTTACAAAATGTGCAGAAAAGTTGAAATTGGACAAAGGGTTCAAAGGCAGTTTTGGGGAGGAAGGGGGAAGTAACAGATTGCACAAAACTCACTTCCTCAGCTAAAAAACTGTTAGAAAGATTTTTGCCTAAAAAGATACTGGGAAGTGAAGTATTGCATATACTTGATCGTCATGATTAGTTAAAAAAGGTGGGAAGTTAAAATTTTAATTAGAAGTGATTATTTATTTACTCATTTTAACATGTTTGAGAGACTATTTTTCATTGGGTAACCATCCTCTGGGGGAAGTAATATAAAATTACAAAATAAGATCAACGTGTAGTTAAACATTTCCTTGTGCACTCAATCTGCAAACATCTCATGACTCTCTTGCGGGTGATGTACAGGGTGGGGTGTTTTTTTTGTTTTTTCTTGGTAATGTACACTTAAAAAAAAAAAAATTTTAAGCAGTTCAGTTTCCTGACCTGGTACACAGTATGTTGCCCTGTATACTGACAACTGTTTCTCTCAAATATGACTTATTTCTCCAAGTCTTATTGCAAGTCAAATTGATTTTAGTATCACGTCTTTAACTGGCCATCTTACTATAAAATGTGGAAGTGAAGTCCCTGATATCACCTTAGAACTGGACCTACTTGTATGTTTAAGCATTTTACATGCTTAGATCTTAAAATGTAACTTTCTGATTCATTTCTTCCTTTCTGTTCCTTTTCCATGGTTTCCCCCAAAACATATTGAAGATATTGCTATAAATTTCTTCATAATTGAAGGGCAAAAGCCTTATTTACTGTCAAAATTTAGCAGGTGGTGTTGATGTATTTAAGTACAAACATTTCACATTCTTTTAATAAATGGCATCTTTTTTGTGTTTTTCATAGCCTAACAAGCTTGTCTGTGTTATACTGTTCTAAAAAGATGCCTTTTCTGAACCGAAGATGCTTCTCAGCTTTTGCATAAAATGGTAGTGATGTATGTTCACAAGTCATGACCTATCATTTTGCGTGTGTCTGAGAAGTTTAGCCTGGTGCTTGCGCTCTCGGCATGATGGCTGCATCAGAGCCTGGCGGGTATGGAAGATGAGTGTAACCAATTCCCTCACAGATTTCTTGCGAGTATTCCTCCTCACCTCTGTTTGAAAACAGCTTCAATTATGCTGATAGTGGTGGAGCTCCATGCATAGTGCAGGAAGTGAGGCGTGCTTGGTTAAAGCATTTTTCATCTAATATTAATGTTCCACAGGGGGCCTGTATGGGTTCTGAGTAGCCTCAGCACTAGTGTAGCTGTATGCAGCATAAATGCTTTTCTTTGCACTCCCTGTTTCTTGGGGTGTTTTATAGCAAGGTAACTGTGGCCACATAATGGAGAGGCATAAAGGGCTATCTGAATGTAATGACATGCTAGCAGTGGTATAGCCCCTTCAGTATGATGCGATACCTCGATTAAAAGAATCGTTTTTCTCATACGTGGGCGCTTTCATTGTTTATTGACAAATGGTTTTTAGTGGCAGAATGCGCTGCTCGCAGCCAGGCGTTGCTCCCTCAGTTACGCTGGCAGGTAGAAGTGCTGATGCTGCTGCCAGAGAACTGCTGATTTTGGGTTATTTTAAGCCAGGATTGGCTGCCCAGTATGGTTACAGTCAGCATACTGGCATAACTAGGGAGGCAGTCTGGGGACCAGAATGGCTGAGTGGGGGCTAGGGACTGCTGAGATCAGCCCAGCTATAAAAATGTGTTAACCTTATTATTAAAAAAAAAAAGTCTTAAATTTGAGCATGCCCATAAGAACCAAAACCATGATTTGCCTACTAGCATGTATCTGGCTGGTGGTATCTGTAGCGTGTATCTGTCCAGATGGTAGCAGCTGTGAAGAAGTTTAAAAATTTGGTCTTTTTGTTAGTTCTTTCCTTTTTAATTTCAAGTTGCCTTGCTGTATTTCAAGTTGGCTTGCTGTATTAGTTTGTATTTGGCATAAGACACTGTTTCTTCTGCCAAAACTGTCAAACTGTAATAAGTATATGATCCTTCATAGGTGGAGATCCAAATTGCCCCATTTACCTGCAGCAGCACTCATACTGAAACCTTGCTGAAAGAAATGGAGAATGTTTTATGCATTTACAGGGATAATCTATAGTTTCTTACTCACTGACTTTCATACTACTGAACTAAAGCTTTGAGCATTCGTTATAACTGCTTTTCTACAGAATTACTGTACAAGTAAATAGCCAGCAGAACACAAATTCCGAGTATGTTATAAATTTATGTGTATAACTTAAAAAAATATACTTGCGGAAGTGAGTGTAGACAGCGCTAAGAAGCTTGGCTGTCCTTCCGGTAAGGTGTGTAAGTGACATTGGCTGCTAATGCCTATGCAGATAAGTAGGCAATATGTAGTCACAACAAGGAATTAGACCGGATAAATTAATTTTTATGTGTGCATATGTAAATAGTAATAACTTCAGTATTACGATGTGTAGGACTTTGACAATTTTGAGACGAATAACTGGATTTTGGCATTAATTACTGTGACTTCACTTCTTTATATTATGTATTTGATCATTTTTTGCTAAAGTGAGGTGTTATTTAACTACATCAAGACAGCCATATTGCTTATATGCTGTGTAAATTTATTTCATTAAAATGCCAGTATCGTAACAGTCCACATATGTTTGAAGAACGTATTAAGCCTAGTACAGGTAATCTGTCTAATTTGTGCTTGTATTAGTGCTATTGTAGACACACAGAATAAATATGCTATAAAACTAGAATGATAAATTAATATTACACCTACAAGTTACCATTTTTCTTCAGTAGAAACGTGAAAATTTTTCTTTGAAAGCCATACAGAAAGGTGGTGAAAAAATTAACTATACATAGTAAATACAAGCTAGAGGAAAAGCAGGAAATGAGGCTAAAATTACCTGAAGAAATGAGGCTTTGACAGAACTTCTTGTCCCTGCCTGATGTCCTTTTGCCCGTTTTGGCTGCAGGTTCTTTTTTATAAGAAGTAGCAGAATGGTGCCTATAAGACTTGTGAAGGCTGGCAGCAGAGGAGAGGGAAAGATGTACAGGACTTAGTCAGTCTGTCTGCTCAGTGCGTTAGCGGGACGGAAGGTCAGAACGTGGGCAGCTCTTAGCTACGGCCACAGCGTGGTGCCTGAGGTAGGATCGGTGCTGTGGGCAGAAGAATTGAGCAATAAAGGATACAAATCTCTGTAGGAAACCAGGCTTCCCTAATTTTACAGAACAACTTGCCTGTCTCCTACTGTTTGTTAGGGTGACTTTAAACGTGGTTATATGTAGGCTGAAAGTGCTCACACCAAAGCTATTTATGCATATATGTGTAAATATATAAAACATCCTTATAAACACCTTTAGTGTTGCAGCAGAGTAGTACTTCGAATTCTTCAAAGTTGAATCTGATTCCAGTACAAATGTTCATCATAACAAACCAGTCCACTCTTGTTAGAGTAAATCTTGAACGCTTTCTGTGAGTGATTAGCCCTTTTGGTTTTTCACTTATGGGGCTTTCTGTTTAAGGTAGAATCATAGAATCATTAAGGTTGGAAAAGACCTCCAAGATCATCGAGTCCAACCGTCAACCCAACACCACCATGCCCACTAAACCATGTCCCTGAGCGCCTCATCTACACGCCTTTTAAATACTTCCAGGGATGGGGACTCAACCACTTCCCCGGGCAGCCTGTTCCAATCTTTAACCACTCTTTCAGTAAAGAAATTTTTCCTCACGTCCAATCTAAACCTCC